CACATTGCCTCTCTTACACTATATATAATAATATAAGCAAATGAGTTGATTTGAAAAGGCGTGGCCATAGCGTATGAAAATGGAGAACGGAAAAGTACAAAAAAAAATTTGAATAATCCTCCGTGCACGGAGACCACACTATATATAAATTTTTTTAATTTTTCTCTTCAATTTTTTAACCTACAAATAACTTTTTCGTTAAAACTGAAAAATTAAGTTTTATTTGGAAGTGAAAAGAATTAAAAAGAATTAAAAAGAAAAAAATAATTGATTTTTTTTAAGAAAAAAATGCATTTGTTAACACATATGTTTAATATCCGTTTAACTATTTTCGATATTTATTTAGATCATTCGATATCTCTACGATATAGTTTTTAAAATGAGTTTCGAGAGAATGTAAAATATTTATCAATTTGACTATCGTATAATCGTCGATGAATTTTTAAAGTTAGCTTATTATCGAAAATTTCGAAATAATAATAAAATAATTGATTTTTTAAGAAAAAATGACTTATGCGTATTTTTTAACACATACGTTTAATGTTCATTTAACTATTTTTTTTAAATATTTGTGTTGTTTACATTATAAATTTTTTTCAATTTAAAATTATTTTCTCTTAATAATTCTAAATAGAAACTTAGTTTTGATTTGCATTATAAATAATTTTTCTTTTCAACTTAAAATTCTTTTATAATTTCTTTCTCTTTAATTTTTTTACTCACAAGTAACTTTTTACCTCTTAGAAATATTTTATATCTTATATTATTAGTATTTTTTTAATAATTTCAGATAATATTTAATTTTATAGTAATAAAATATATAAAAAAATATTTTACTTTAAAATATTTTATTATACTGTAAGAAACTGCTGCAACACGTAATTTCCATATCCCCCATGATTCCATGCTCAACCACTCTTATATAGATATATATAGTAGGGATATAAGAAAAAAATTACTTTTATATAAAAAAAATTTACAAAAAGTTACTTTTAAGTAAAAAATTTGAAGAAAAAAAAGAATTAAAAAGAATTTTAATTTTTGTTGTTCATATTATAATTTTTTTTCAATTTATAATTCTTTTCTCTTAATAATTCCAAACAGAAACTTAGATTTGAGAATTTTTTTTATGTAGTTTTACGTTATAAATAATAGTTTTTTCAATTTAGAATTCTTTTTAATTTTTTTCTTCAAATTTTTTATTATTAATCAGTATTTTTTAATAGTTTGAGATAAAATTTAATTTTCTAGTAATAATTCAATATATAAAATGATGAAAAAAATATATTCACTCCGTGCATAGAGAAAAAAATTTTCTTCATAACACATAAATTTTTTTGAGCAAAATGATGCATTGAGAAAATTCTTGCAAAAAAAGAATAAATAGTAATAAAACAATTGATTTTTTTAAGAAAAAACGACGTACACGCATTTTTAACACATATGTTTAATCTCTGTTTAACTATTTTCGATATTTATTTAGATCATCTGATATTTCTACGATATAGTTCTCAAAATGAGTTTCGAGAGAATGTAAAATATTTATCGATTCGACTATCGTACAATCATCGATGAATTTTTAAAGTTAGTTTGTTATCGAAAAATTTCGAAATAGTAATAAAAAATTAAAATTTTTAAGAAAAACGACTTATGCGTATTTTTTAACACATACATTTAATATCCGTTTAACTATTTTTGATATATATTTAGATCATTCGATATCTCTACGATATAATTCTCAAAATGAGTTCCGAGAGAATGTAAAACATTTACCGATTCGACTATCGTATAATCGTCGATGAATTTTTAAAGTTAGCTTGTTATCGAAAATTTCGAAATATAGTTTGAAAATGCATATTTTACGTCCCATAACATTTGCTATGATTGACCGTTTCACGTATCGTTAACGACGTACAATATTATGCCGCGAGTAGTTCAAAACGATATTAAGAATGTAATATTTCGACTTTGTTTGATATCCCATAATGAGCCTGAAAATGAACACAAAAACATAGGTAAAAAAAAAAAAATTCTCTCTTTTGGTCTCCGTGCACGGAGTCTTTCAATTTTTTGGTCTCCGTGCAAGGAGAGATTTTTTTATTTTTTTTTTGCTGTGTGGTTTTACATTATAATTTTTTTCAATTTAAAATTCTCTTTAATTCTTTTCTCCTCAAATTTTTTACTTACAAGTAATATGTTGTAAAAAAATTTCTGTCGCATATTGTCTTTATCTTTTTTTTTTTATATATATATAAGTGATTTTTTTATTATATCCCTACTATATATATATATATCGATTGAAAAAAATAAAATAAAAATGCTACAGTAAAGATTGATCAAGACGCTATTGCTTTCTACAGTGCCCATATATATATATATTACAAATAACATAAAAAAATCTTTTTTATCTTCAACAAAAAAATACATTTAAAAATTAGCAATTTCATAATTACCTTTTTTTTTTAAATTCTTGGAAATACAATTATAAAAAAGAAAATAATATTGAATTACAAAAATCAATATTTGTCAAATACGGTATCTAAAGACAATATATGCAAATACGATATGCTGCAAATACAGTATGCTGTAAATATAGTATGATGCAAATACGACATCTTGTAAATACGGTTTGCTGCATATATGGTAAGCTGCAAATACGGCATGTGTAAATACAGTACGTTGCATATACGGTATGTGAAGTGCATATACGGTATGTACAAAAATCAACATCTGTCAAATACAGTATCTAAAGACAATATGTGCAAGTACGGTATGCTGTAAATACGGTATGATGTAAATATCGTATGTGTGTATATACGGTATGATACAAATACGGTATGCTACATATACGGTAAGCTGCAAATACGACATGCGTAAATACTATATGTTGCATATAAGGAATGTAAAGTGCATATACATTATGAATGAATTCGGTTTCATCCACTACAATAAATTTCAATACTGTATATGGTGTCTACCGTATTTGCAGCTTACCATATATGTTACCTATCGTATTTGCAGCTTACCGTATATGCTACCTACCGTATTTGCAGCTTACCGTATATATCGATTTTTGCACTTACAAATACCGAAAATGCAGTACACCATATATTCACTTACCAAATCGAATGTCAGAAAAAAAATTCAAATTTTTAATTTTTCAACATAAGTATAAAATAAATATTAAAATATATGAAAGACAAAATATAAAACGTATATAAATATGCAAGTCGATTTATAATTTTGTGCTCAATCTTCAATTTTCCAATATTGAATTACACAAAATTTAGAAATATAATCTTCACATTCAATTCAATCATATCAACACTATTAAAAAATACAGGCAAAATAGTTTGTATAACCTCGTGTATTTCTTATTCAAGCATGAAATATACAGGCATATTTTTTCTAGATAACACAGTACTGTTACAATTGTAAAAATAATTTCCAATCCCTTTCTTATATCATGGAAATATTTCTAAATATTACTTCAAAAATTTTCCAAAAAACTAAAATTCATACACTAATAAAAATACGATAAATACAGAATTCGTGCAACGCATATGACAGTGACTAGTTAATATCATTTTTTAAAGAAGATATGCTATTGGAAAATGCAATATTATTGCTTGGTATACATGATGATAATAAAAGGAGGTTCTCAAACCAGTTATGACAATGTTATGCAACGTTATATGAAGCAGCGGAATATTGATATTTGCAAGGTGCTATCTTTACTTTGTATTGGAAGAAAATTAAATTATAATTTCGGATTCATCATAAACGAACAAAGAGGGCATGCAATTGTTACTTATGCTGTAACATACAAGATATAAGATAGAAGTTCACTTTCCATTGAAAAATCAATAAGAAAACATATATAATCTGAATTTTCTTGTGTAGTAAAAATAGAACTTACGCTAGGCAAAAATATTTTTTCACTCCTTGATTCGTGGTCCAGCTAAATTTGGATTCAAATTATCAGAATATGAACGAGCCTCATTCAAGAAAAAAGGTTCGTTCAAGTGATATAGACAAGCATTCGTGTATGTATTTCACAAAGTAATCTTGAATGAGGATGAAATAGACAACCACTACAATATGTATTTCCAACAGTAATCTTGAATAAAATTTTCGTGTTCTTCAGTCAATGCACCTTCTCACTCGTGTGACATTGATTTCTTGTGTTCCATTTCCACTTCAATTAATGCTAGCTTCACGACTCACATGATGCCATATTATTCCTACATAGAATTCTTGTAATCATTAATCTTCAAAAAATGGTATACGATGATGTGTGCCATTTCAATATTTTAATAATAATAAAAAATGATATCATTTTCAGACATATCCAAAAGATTAGTGAAGTTCATGGTTAGAAAAAAAATGCAAATCCAAACACTCGATGGAGGACAATAACATGCAATTTACATATATAGTACACACATTCACATTTTATGATGGACCACAATAAACACAAATTGGTTTCAAGATTGAGATCATGTACATGTTATTGATTTTACTTTCAATTGCAAAATATTTGAAAACTACTGTACTCTCAAAATCGAAAACAAGATCACCAACCCAAATCTCTGATTACTTTTTGGAAGCCACTTAATTCTCCAATACATGTATCAAACCTAATCACAGATTCTCCTCATATGTGTTGTCCATTCTCCATTTAATTTTTTTTCAACATCCTCTGATTTGGGGATGAAATAAATGCACTGTAATGGGTAGTGTTTTTGAATTTTTTTCAGTTACAATAATTAATGGGAGCAATTACAAGAAACAATATATTCAATTTAATTATATTATTACACAGTAATTTTTATACATATTCAAAGTTTGTAGTACATTTAGAATTGTTATTTTTAATTGGGGTATATATGATTTTTTTCCCAACAAACAAAAGAAAGAAATTTAGTTCAGGCCCACAATCTTTCGGCCCATATTCTTCTCTTAAGAGCCCAGCTCATACTAAATACCCTCGCAAAACCCTTGAAAGAGAGATACAGAGGAGTAAAAATCAACAGAACCTTCTGAAAATTTTCTCGTATAGAAGAATTCCGAGCTTCAACTTGTCAATGGCGGCGAAGCCCGAGAAGAAGAGAAAGTCAGCTCCGGGTTCGAAATCGGAAGCGGGGAAATCACACCCTAAAAAACCGAAAGTAATTGGAAGCAATATTCTGAATAAAGTTTCAAAAAAGCCATTAAAATCACCTGGAAAAGAACATATACATCATTCAGGAAAACCTAAGGTGCAGAAAGGCGACGTGGACGATAAGAAACTGCGTCGTTTACAGGCAAAGGTTTGTTTTTTTCTTCTTATTATGCAATGTAGGAGTCTGTATATAAGTGGTTATCACGTGGGTTTTTATTTTATTTGGATTGTTTATTATAGAGTTTTAAGCTGCATTTATTCGCCCTTAAAATGATAAGGAAAATTTGTGGTTGGTATAATATGGGGAATAATAATGCATGCTGCTGAAGTGAGGTACAAGTGCTGGAGCATGAAGATATACTTCAAAAATTGTACTGTGCACTGGCATTATCAATTATGCCTCGGCAGAGTGTAATTTGTGTATTTTGGGAGTGAAATTCCACTGGGGGCTCATGAAACCTTCTATGTAGTCCATTAAAGAATAGAAGCAGAAATAACAGAGTGAAGCTAACCTCAAAATTCAGAAAGATGAGGTGGAAAAGAAGCATCTCGATCATGAGCAAAACTTCATTCCTTTTTTATCTTGACCTCGAGAGTTTGCCTTTATGTATGGCTATGTTGCTTAATAATTACTTGGTTTATGTTTTATGGATAATGGCGTGGCAAGGCAAAGATTGGTTAGGGAAGTATGACTATAAATGCTAGAGCAATTATTTGCCTTGATGGAGCAAGGTGCAGGTAATGGACCACGTATTTCATTTTTGATAGTTTGTATTCTGTGCTCTGTGTTAGAAAATTGCCTCTAGCTTTAGTATTTCTTGGTTGGTAATTTATAGTCGAAAGTCGTAGTTATTGGTTGATAGCTAAATCAAATCCCAGAAACTGAGAACTAGTGCCAAAAATAACCTCAAGTAATGTCCCAAAGAAGGTTCTCCACAAACCATTTAAAATAACTAGGAAAAACCTAGATAGTGAAAAACGAAGAGAGATGAGTATGGTGGAGAAAACACCTTTGTTTAGTTCTTTTTCTTGCTCTGCCACATCTTTGCGGGTCTGAAAACTGGTAATGCTTCTTCATTTGGTGAATTTTAATGATTGATGCTAATTTATTTTTGGTTAAATAAAAAACATAAAACTGGGTTTGGAGCTCAAAAGGACATCATGTCGATACTTTTTATGCAAGGTACAACCAATGAGGCTGTGACACTACTTTGATGTCTCCATGCTCTAAAGCCTGCTCCTTTGTCTTTTTTTTTTGCAAGTGAATCAGAACAGTATTTTTACGGCTTAAGTTCAATTTTTGTCACTTGCCTGATATATTGTTTGCAAATTAAATTATTAATGGTGCATGTATTGCTTTGACTAGATAATATGTGAGATAGTGTATTGGATAGCATCGACTTTGCCATTTTTTAGTTTCCACCTGTGTGGATTTTTTCCAGGAACTAGCTGAAGCTAGGAAAAAGAAGAGGAAGAGACATTACACACTGGAGCAGGTATATTTGTATTTTATCTACTAAATTTACTATTTTCTATTCTAGTTTTGAGTTGCAATCTACTGTAGCCTCTTGGGTTTTACCGTTTGAAAAATAGTAATTTAAAATATGGCATTGGAAATTTTGATAAAAAATTGTCATTTTTTATCCCTTACTAACTTAGTTGATTTATTTTTCAAAGATAAAGATCGTGCACGAGGATACTCTTGGTAATGTCTGTATGTATATGCGTATACACATGCATATGTAGAGACTTAGGCCCTGTTCTCTTTACTGTTTTCGGGCCGTTTTCTATTTTCGATTTTTCAAAACGGTGAAAATATGTTCTCTTTCCCGTTTTCGAAAATTCGTTTTCGAAAACGAAAAAAAAATTGTGAAGAAAACACAAAACGACTTTTTTGTCGTTTTGGGCGTTTTCAGTGTAAAACTTGAAAAAATTGAAAACGTGGGAAACACTTCCCTTTTTTTTTTTCTTTTTTTTTTTGTGGAGGTGGTGTGGTGATTCTCAAATTTAAAAAAAAAAAAAAATTAATTTTTTTTTTTTTAGGTGATGTTGTAGTGATTCTCAAAATTTCAAAAAAAAAAAGTTCATTTTTTTTTGTTTTGAGAAACTAACAAAAAGAACACATTTTCAACAATTTCAAAACAAACACTCAAAACACAAAATTCAAAATGAATTCAAAACTCAAAACACAACTAAAATACAAAGAGAACACCCCCTTAATATCTGACACTTTTGGTCATCCAGTCACCGTATTACATCTCTTGTTTTCACAACATACATTCGAACTTATCCACCATCATCAAACATGGACTGTTCACATTTTTTGCCGTGCGTCTCATGTACTTCTTAAGTCTATCTGTATCATTTTGTGATTGCATGTTTGCCTAAGCTTAACATTTTTATCTATAATGCAAAAGTTTGTTTTAGAATAATTAAATTCACTAAACCCTGCATCACAGTCAAAATAAGTATAATTTTTCCCTTAAAAATTAAGGAAAAATTAAATCCCCAAACATGTTTTGAAACAAAGCCTTTGTTTGGGTTTCATTATAAGTTGTAATTTTCGATCAAAGTTATACTTTAATTTTAAACACACATCCACAACTGCTAACCACTTATTATCCACCCATTTCGTGTACCCATTACTTCTCTTATTAGATCTCGTTATTAGGAGATTATAATGAAGCCCAAAAAAACACAAAACTTTCTGAAAAAGTAAGGATGCGGTTGGTTTGGCATTTTCGGGCCATTTGCCCTTTTTCATTTTCGATAATGCGGAAAATGCGTTTGGTCTGTCATTTTCAAAAATGCATTTTCGAAAATGAGTTAAAATTTATAACTGAAAATACAAAATGACTTTTTATCATTTTGAGCTTTTTCGGTTATAAATTCTCAAAACGCGGAAAATGCCCAAAACGTGTCGTTTTAGGGGAAAACTAAAAATCGTTTTGAAATTGAAAATGGAAAATGGAAAACTAAACCAACCGCCACCTAAATTATTTGACTTTTAACTTCAACCTGACATACACTTTTGTAAAGCCACTGGGCTGAGGGGTTTATTATATCTATATAGGGAACATGTGCATTACAAAGTCTCCCTGTTGAACTGCATATGGCTATGTTTCACGCAATGAGAATGGATTGCAGATTTGCAGTTATCATAACGATAGGCTTCTTTGGTTTAGCAAATAACAAATTAAGCATTGTTCTCAATAATCCTTATGATACAATTTTAAGGGGCTTCAAATGATGTTATGGGAACTTATTTACATTGTAGAAGTTCTATTGTTACAAATTATAACCGTGACTAAAGTAGGAGTGCTACCATTTCTATGAAAAAGGTCAGCGTTTACACCTTATCGTCTCACATTGACACTTTTTTCTCATTAAAAAATAAATATATTAGAGAGGCCATAGGAAAAGAAATGGCATCTGGATAGCTAGGTTCTATGTTCCAAACTACAAGTGTACCACCACATTTCAGTACGATCTCACCATTATGTTGTTTACAGGGGGTTAAGGGACATATTGTAACGCCTCGAACTCTTTTTCATTATTATTGTTATTTTTTAAATAAAAATGAGCTCAAAGTGCTACCAAAACTTTTCTCTATCTAATTTAGGCGGAAATATATCGAAAATATTTGATTTCAAATTATTAAACAACATAATAAATATCGTGCATAAATATTAACACAAAGATATTCTTTATATAAATTGACTATTGTCTTTTCTAGAAATTTTACTTGAAGACCACATTAGCATCGCTCCGTCAATCTTCCACACGTCCTCACGACCCGTTCTTATCTGAAAATATTGTAAGAGTGAGTATTTTGAAAACACTCAGTAAGAATACGCGCACATCCTTTTTCACATGATATAAATATAAAAATAGTATAACATACCAACATTTTTTAGGAATTTCTTAAGAATCCCCATATCCCGTAGGATTTAACTTCTTTTCTTTGACCTGACGGTCTATCCGGAAGTATTTAACTTCTTCTCTTTGACCTAACGGTCTATCCCGAAGGATTTAACATAGCATTCGACCCGAAGGCCTTAAAGTATCTCATGCCAAATTTACATAAATATCAAGGAATAAGAATTTACCACTTGCACCATGTATTCTTATCTCAATTGACACCAAAGAATTTCTGAAAATGATTTATGAAATAAAATGATATTCCTTCTCAAAAGTATGAGTGTGTGTAGACGTGTGAAATACTAATAATCTGTATGAGTAAAGGAGAATTTGTCACCTCAGTGCTCTCATATCCACTTTTATACACAGAACATGTGATTATAGAGATTCTAACGTAATTTGATGTTAATTAGGTTTTATGTGGGTTAATTACTCTATCACTAATGAGCTTAATAAATTTTAAATTGTAAATTATAAATTTTCGTTTCATTTCCCCAAGTAACCGTATGAATTAAATTGGAAATGAAAGTTTTGTTTTTATTATTTTATTATTATCTATATTAATAAAATATTAAATACCAACACTTTTTCTGTTTATTAGAATAACTCGGACATACTAGCTCAAAATTACTTTTTCTTAATTCCAAATTATACTATTTGACAAGAGCTATAAAATGAGTATAATATCGATATATTTTTAATAACTTTTAAAATACTTAAATATTCGATCCAAATAAGTTACGATAAATTAAAAATATACGCTTGCGGAATAAACCATTTATGCAAATAAGTGGGACGTGTATATCACTTCAACTTTTCGACTTTAGTGTGACGACAGTGTTGGACATGGATTATTTTATTTGTTAAATTACCAACCCACGTGGAAAAATTTAAAATTCGGAGTGTTACACATATATTAACCCTAATCTTGACATTGTAAATTACTTTTTGACGACGAAGCATTAGGTGTAAACAAAATGACTTTCACCCTTGCTATCTGTTATCATGCTTTTGTGGATACCGTATCACTTCTGCATCAATAAGTTCATCACGATTTCTTTAGTTCCCTTTTTGCTAAAAGTAATTCTCTGTTGACTGTCATTTTTTAATTCTCTTTTATCAGGAACTTACCTCACTTTGGGAGAAGATGCGAGTTCGAGATATTAAAAAAGAAGATAGATCCAAGTGTGTATAATTCACTTGTCAAATTCTTGCTACAACTTCTAGTTTTTCTTTCCTGCGATTATAAAGAATTTTTTCTTTAACCTATCGTCAATATCATTTGTTCATTTTTCAATATTTTTGAGCGTTCCAGGCATGTGAGTGAAGCACTCGAGAAGATGAAGGGGAAGATCCGTGAAATTGCAAGCTCCCATGTTTCATCTCGTGTTCTTCAGGTTTTTATGCCTGCATCCTCCGCATATCGATTCGTCTCTAATCTATTTAAACTTTGAAGTTATGTCATACACAGTGCTTTATTGATTTATGTCCTTGAACTTTAGACTTGTGTCAAACATTGTACGCAAGATGAAAGAAATGCTGTGTTTACGGAGCTCCGGCCCCATTTTATTTCCCTGGTCAGCAATACTTATGCGGTTCATCTAGTCACAAAGATGTTAGATAATGGTATGTCCTCCCAAAAATTATGCTAACTCTTCTCTTGAGTTAGTCCTCTCCCTCTTTCCCATATTTATTTGATATTTAATTGTGATCTATAGAACATCATTTTACTGGTTTACAGCATCCAAAGAACAGCTAGCAGAATTTATCTCCTCTCTCCATGGGCATGTTGCTTCTCTTCTTCGACAAATGGTTGGTTCACTTGGTATGATAATTATTAACTTCTGCAATATCTGTGGTGACTAATTGCAACAGCGAATTGCCTCCAAAATCTGAATCTTCTGTATTCACTTAAGCATCATGTCTTGGCGTCCACTCTCATTTTTAAGAGAACATAATTTTGAAGATCTAGATCTATAAAGAAAAATTGTGTAGAGCTTTTGAATTCTCAGTTTAAGACCCAATATCGTTTTAGTTATTATTTTCAAGCACTATCATTCTTTTCTTCAAGCTCCACCATACAACATTTATTTTGACGAAGCAAGATCTCTTTTATTTTGGTTACTCATATTCCTGTATTTTATACTGCTTTGTTTGTGTAGTTATTGAACATGCTTATAGTTTGGGGAGTGCAACACAGAAGCAAGCTCTTCTCATGGAGCTATATTCGCCTGAACTTCAGTTATTTAAAGATTTGGTCACGATGAAGGAGACCAGGTATATAATTTATTATTCATCATGTGGTGCTTGAGTGACTGCTATTATTAATTCTCTTTTAATAATATGCGCTCTTTCTCAAAGCTGAAGTTTCCTCACATTGAGTTACTAGGAACTTGAAAATTGTACTTGAAAGACTTGAAACAAAGGCAGTTACCAATGTGGAGTGAAAAAATTTGTTCCATATCTTATAGTCTAGCATTGGGTTCGGGTTTTGGATAAGCATGCCAAGTTTTACTAATATGAATTTTGAGTTTCTTTATGTGACTTGAGAGAATAAGTGTGGACGTTATTTTAATGGACACTAACTTAAACTCTATAGTGTAAAAGTGTACCCCTTTGGTTGGGAGCTCGAGAAC